TGGCCCTTTTAGCTGCCTCGCTGTTAGCTGCCCGCTCCAGAAGACAGGACGCTCTGATATCAGACAACACACACACACACACACACACACACAACTTGCCCCATGAGCACCCTGACATGAGACAGAACGCAGATATACACATACACACGCTCAACGAACGTCCCCCTGGAACCTCGCAATGGTAATTGTACCGAGCCTAGTCGCTCTATGGGGGCTGTGTGCCGCCCTACGGGGATTCTTAGCTGTAATCACACCTCTGCAGCAGCTCCCCTTACAGACAGCATTAAAATAATGCAGCCCACACATACGCTGCTGTACTGAAAGACAAGAAGTGTGGGAGGAGTTGGATGGCAAGTTTATTGGAACAAAACATGAGGGAGAAAGTTGTTAGACTCTTTACTCTCCTCCAAGGAAACCTCTCTCTCTCTCTCATTGATGGACATTATGGGCAATGCCACAACACACATAGTGATGTGAATGCAATTTCACAGTTGTTTGTGTGAGCCATGGCGGTGGGTCACATGGATGGTCAGGTGGTCCTCGGCCGCCAGTTTCTCTCATGATCAACACACATATACACAATTACTGCAACCCTCAAAGGGGGAAAGTGAGGGGAAGAGTTGCTTGAGAATCAATGATGTGTTTGTTCACTTTCTCTGCTGGCTGGGTTGACGTTAGATCATGAGGCTTCTTGAGGACCGACCAGCTGTTTGGAGTTTGGTGACTGACCAAAGTTCTACTGTACCAGAGTGTTTGGATGTGTGTTCACTTTAGAAAGTGTTTGTATTTTTTATTTTTAGTTAATACTATTAAAGAGGAGAAGTGCAAAAACGTCTCAGGTTACGTATGTAAATTGGCCGGCAACAGCCTATGACGTCATTACCCTGCGCGATCACAGTATAAAAGGGCGCCAGGATAACACGTCATCCGCTTCTTCGTCTGAAGCTTGCGTCTAAAGCATGGCAAGGAAACTAGAGGACGCAGGGTTCCTTCTCAGGGAACCATGGTTACATACGTAACTTGAGACATTCCCTTTCGAGGGAACTTCGAACTGCGTCCTCTAGGGGTCGCTATCTGGAACGGTATACCCACGCCACCATGCTGAGGGGAGTGCATGCCAGAAAACCATGGTGAGCACTAAGTACCAGCACGTGCTTTCAGATGGAGCGGCATTTACTACACAGAGCCGTAGATCACTGACAAGCTACACAAAATCGCATTCAAAATCACAGGCGATTCATTGCGATTTTGAACGCGATTTTGTGCAGCTTGTCAGCCATGGGAGTTGCCCCATAGGATGCCTTGACGGCTCTCAGTGACATTATCCCTTCCGGCCAAGGGCCTGAGCTGCATACCCTAAACAACTTTCCTGATAGTGGCTGAGCTGGGAAGCCCAAGCCTAGGGCAGAGCTCAAGGCTTGGAATCAGAAGATTCATTAAGGGGATACGGCCAGGTGTCTAAAAACCAAAACAGACCCTGGCCTGCCACCCAGGGGGGCTACCACCGGTTCTGAATGAACCTGCTCAAAGAACTGACTCGACAGATCTTTGGTAGCAACGCCCTGCTCATAAATGTATCAACAGAGATACATTAGTTGAGTGGTGCCCAAGGTGATAACCGGGGCCTAAGCCAACTCAGAGAAAGGGAACGAGGCTAACAACGCGTAACCCTTACCATACAGGATTTTAGAAAGTGCGCAGAATGCTTTGCGTGCACACTTACCACAATGTGGATTTTAGAAAGTGCACAGAGGCTTTGTATTTAGAAACACCGTTGCTTAAGGGGTAACCGAGGCCGTATTAAGCCAGCCTAGGGGCCCTATGTGACTGTGGCACGCTCACAGAACAGATTCCGAAGCATCTGCTCACAGATGCCCA